ACGACAAAATAATATCTAACAATGACAGGGCACAGCTATCTGTTGCATTTACTAGTTGAATAATGAATTGTTCCATTTAGCCAACTCACTCTATAAATTTTCGAAATATAGACTTTTACCTCCTCATCCGTTAAAAAAAAAAAATCTTCTACGTGAAAATGTTATTTTATTTTGTTTTACATTATTTAGACACAAATGATTGACCTCCAGCTTCAATATTTTCTCCTATAGAAAAATATGTGAATTATAAAAATCACACACCACGTTGAGTTTACTAGGTCATTACTTGCCATAAAAGTCAACAAATTACATGAATTAGGCAAAGTTAACCCTTCATTAGAGGCATCAATCAAATATTGAATATTTCTCTTGATAACAATTGACCATATATCGGGTGTTGATTCTAATTAAAATATTAACAACTTGATTAGGTTTCAGATTATTAGATTAAGTCTACTTGTTCTGGAAATTAAAAGGTAGTTTTTCATTATTATTTTTTTATGAATAATTAATGTTTCAATGGTCATTGTCAACTAAGTCATTCAAAAGAAGTTGCCTAGAGGGGCAGTTGAATAATCCTTCCACACGCTTTAGGGAAATTAAACCAAGAGAAAAAGTGAGGCGATAACATAATATGCATCTGATAAAATACGCTAGATAATTTCTTCTCATCTAACTAAAGTCTTTTGTTTTGACATATTTAAGATTTACATTTCAAAATTATTATTTTTTATTAAGTCAAAGTGTCAAACTATGAACAATAAAAAAGTGAAATAATTTGTTAACTAAGTATCAATTGAATGCCTTCCCTACCATAGAGATCGAATAGCTCTAGGTCCAATTGTTAGTGAAAGTTGTTACAATTAAGAAGATATTTAAATGGAGTCGCCAATAGCTACTTGCTAATGTGTTTTAGCCCTAATTTATCATGTCAATGTCAACGCATTCTTATATAGAAACAAATAGTAATATATAGTATACTAGTAAAAATATCCGTGCTTCGCACGAGAAATTTATATTACATAATTTGTAAAATAATACTTAAAATCTATCGGTCATTAAACCTAAAACTCTATATTATCTTGCGCACAAGAATATGTAATAAGAACCGCTAACAATGTAAAGGAACATAGAAATTATTACATCTTATCATTTATCTTTAATAATATGTACACATAAATTAATGACGGTAAAAATACATCCAGGATTTGTAACATAAGCAATGATGCCTATTAGCCACTCAACAGGAGCAAGGTACATAAATATTTAATTATGAATAATAAGAAGAGGAGATTCAGAATTTTCGTTTTTCTAAAATGAGAGAAAAATTCTCTATTTATTGTATGAACAAAGAATGGTGTGGACGAATATTTATTGTGCCTTATCAGAAATTTTACAACTAATTGGAAAAGTTGCAACCTTTCGGTAATGTCACAACTTTTTATAAAAGTCGCAACTCTTCATCAAAGTTGCAACGCTTTATAAAAATCACAACTCTTCATTAATGTCGCAGCTGTTCATAAAAGTTACAACTTTTCATGAAAGGCGAAGATTAGTTTTGAAAATAAATAAATAAAAGAGAATTCTTGTTTGTGTTGGCGCCACGTAGGCGTGCCAAACATTCTCTTTTATATAATTATATGATATTTCTCGGCTCTAATTATGTGCACATTTTTATAGCTCTATTATTAAAATTTTATGTCAAATCAAAATCAAATAAATAAATAGAACCGCTCGAGTATAGTTGGTATAAGAGCCTGTTTGGCTCAGCTTAAAAGCTGGTCAAACTGACTTAAAAGCTGATTTTTGACTTATTTAGCTGTTTGACAATACTCAAAGTAACTTATTTTAAGTTAAAAAAACTTATTTTAAGCCAAAAGTTAAAAGCTGGGGTAGGGGTGTTTTTTTATTTTAGCTTATAAGCTGTTTTAAGTTGACCACATTTTTATGTTTTTGCCCTTAATATTTTTATACAATCTCCAAATTACCCACATAACCCTAACATCTCTTTCTTCTATTTTTCCCTTTTCACGTTTGGCATAGCAACTTCAGCACTTTTATCCAAACACATAGCTGCTTATTTTAAAAATAAGTTTCAGCACTTTCAAAAGTACTTTTTTAAAGCTGCTTTTATTAAACTCATCCAAACGGGTCCTAAGAGTTTTGATTTTGTAAAGCACGTAAAAAGGTGTTGTTTACGTACATCTGAGACCCACCATTAATGACCGTGTAGCTTCACGAGTTGACCTAGTCTTGTTTGGCATTGAATTTCTTCTGAACCCAATTCATCATTTCATAAGTGATGATGTCTTTTTCCAAATTAATGAATGCATAGTGTTTTTCCCAAACTGAGAGAATGGGCTGTGACTATTAAGTTTGCCTTATTTATAATTATTATTACGCGTTCAACAGTATTTAATTAGTTTTACTTAATAAGCGGATATAATTTGTGTATTGAATCACACTATTTAAAATACATACATTATATTACTCTACACATTAAGTTTTAGAATTTCACTTTTAAAAATCGATGTTATTACGGATAAATGCATTCTCTTACATTATTTTTCGTATTTTTAGATTATTGTATCGGATTTAATAATTAAGAATGTAAAAAAAAATAAAATTAAACAGTCAGTGTACACATCATGGCCCTGCCCTGCCTGACGGGAGGAGAAAGCCAAAAGGAAGATTTTATGGTTTGACCTAAAAGGTGACCTTTTTGTCTTCAATGGATTCTGTATCCATTCCAATTTAAATACATAAAATCCTGCTTTATTTTGTGCGGAATTTAAAAGCATTTTATTTTAAATTTTTAAATGAAATGATCACATATAATTTAATATGATATCAAAATAAATTAAAGTTTTATATTTCAATCTTACAGTTACTTTTTATCGACTTTTTTTTTATATGACCACCGACGTATCAGGAAAAAAAAAAGACAAAACAAGAAGATGAGAAATATCTGATATAGCCCATTATGGTCAACAAAATTATTATTAGTATTCCTAGGTGTTGTATCATGTATTATTAGGTTGTGGAAGTCAACTACGTGAAAATAGTTATCGAATACATTAATATAAAAATATATTATATTATAAGTTATATAATGAAAATCAAAATTTTGTGCTATAACTTGAGAATATGACTACATAATATGCTATATATCTAATTTACACTTATTTTATATTAGTGAAAGTTAGCCACTTGATGTATTGGTCTCAATTTTCCTACATTTTGTCAAATATCTTACGAGCATTAATATCTATGTAATTTAATTCATTGTGTTCATATCCAAATCATCAATATCCCTGAGAATAATTAATAGAGAAATTTTAGTCATTTTAATTTAAATACATCTAATACGTATTTCATGCTTCAATCAATTAAAAAATGCAATTGCTCATTCAATAAAATCAGTCCAGCACTTGAAAGTACGTTTAATCGCCCCATATATATATATATATATATATATATATATATATATATATATATATATATACCTTCATTCAACAAGCTCCGTCTTTTATGACATATTATTAATTTTTTTTATTGGATTAAAAATACTCAGCTTAATTAAAATATATATAATAAACTTTATTGAAAATAATAATTGATGAAATTATATTTTCATATACCGCGAAAAATGTAAGAATCATGGCATGAATTTTTTAAAATAACAAAATCAAAAAGAAGAAATACTTTTAAATTAACATAAGGCTTTGAAATTCATCACAAAAGACACGAGAAAGACGAAAAATTATATATACACATATATATAAATCCAATAGTGACTTGAATGTATTTGATTGGATAAGATGAAATTAGTCAATGACAATTGACAACTTAGGTGGCTGATCTAGTTGTTGCGACATGGCCGAGTAAAGATTTGAAGCTTCTAAATTTGAAATTTTAGATCTTTTAATTTAGTGGGTCTAATTTAATAATTTATACATATTTATAAATAAATTTCTTAAAATAAATATAAAAATTTTGATCGAACTTAAAAAAAAAACAAAAAACGTATATGGATATTTTTTTATTGGAAATGAAATGAATGATCAGTAATACCAGAACGTGCATCGCTTATAGGATTTCCATGAAAAGCCAAAAAGAGCAATAAATAACTTTTAAGGAGACGGCATTAAATGGGGGCCAATTTTATAAAAATGAACATAACAACTTCACCTACCATGAATTAAAATTTATAACCTAAGGCCTGCAACTTGTTTAGTTATTGCACCTCATAAGTTTTTTCTTTCAAATTTCGAAAGTTTGGTTGATTAGTTTTTACACTAAATTTAATTATTATTTTTTAATAATTTATTTTTTTTTTGTTAAAATCAAAATTTGATTAGTAAATTCGAAATAGAGTATAAGAAATGTGCAAATTAATCATGGAGCAGTCTTTTGCACGATTACTGGATACTCCTAAATTATTAATCACAATCATTTTTATCATCACTAAACGACAAGAATTTATTGAATTGAAAGTTGCTCCCAAGTCCTAAATAATTGGATTTCTAATTTTGAATTGTTGGAGAATTATGTCAATTTGCTTATTTAGAGAAAAAGTGCTGAAGTTGTTATGCCAACATATCTTAAAAAAATGGTTACAAAGAGAAAATGCAATTAAAATTAGAGAATGAATTCGAATTTGTAATATACGATAGTCCGTGCACAATAATATATGTGGAATATTTAAGATATGTTTTTTGTTTACAAATCAGTTTGGTCTAAACTTTTCTCTAAAAATTCAAAAGAGAACTTGTGCTATTTTCCAGTAGCGTTAATGAGCATGAGTTAAAATTTCCTTTAATACTAATGTTTATGTTACTCAGAGAGAATATGTAGTTCTGTACCAATATGAAACAAAAAAAAGTTAAATCCAGAATTTTAAAATCCCACAGACAATACAATAATCATTATAGTCCAATCCCAAAGTTGGCCCATATACAACCGTTACGCACACAAGCTGCCCCAAAAACAACTAGAAATACAGCCAACAGAACAAAATTTCAAACTTCCTTTCCATCAAATATTGATACAAAGATCACTCAATCTTAAGAAGCCATATGTAATTCTGACTTTATATATAGCTAGTACTACAACAGAAGAATCACAAGTACCAAAGATCACTTGTACTCAATATAACAAACTAATGTGAATCACACACAGACAGATATACTCCTTAGTAACTTCAGTAAGTAGTCTTCATGCCACAAGAAGGAAATTTACTACTATAATCAAAAGCTTTGTCATCATAAAAATCGTCAAGACTGACTTGAGTTGTACCTAGTTGAAGTGAGCTCTTCTTCAGTATACTTGTTCATGCTTCCGGTCAGTTCAAGGATACTCTCAATTTCTTTCACAGCCTCACCCATGGAAGGCCTCTCGGTCCCGGATTCATTAACACATCTCATTGCAAATGTAAATAGTTAATCAACACCTTTAAATTTCGAACCTGGGCATTCTTGGATCAATTAATTGGTACAGTCCGGTGCTATCTTTTGAATCATGTATAGTCTCTGCAACCAGTCTCACGATGTACTTTCCTCGCTCTGTTGGAGATCCTGCAGTTATCCGCTCTACCAATGCCACTTCATAACTATATACATCACTTCCGCTCTAGCAATGCCACTCCATAACTATATACATCACTTTTCTCGGTCAACTGTTGGTTCATGTAATATTCAGGATCCAAGTACCCATACGTAGAAAGATTCTTAGAAATGGTATTTTGAAGCAGTATGGTGTTGCACTGTGGAATTACGAATGTTTATAATATCAAAATTTGCATATATCATCACATAATAAATAAATAACATGTAGAGACAAACATTTAATTGGATCAAAATGATCTTCCTTCCTGTTGTTCAGTCATTCATGGTCAAAAATATCACCCTTGTTGTTATCCAACCAGCTTCAAGCTTAATGATTTCTTTTACGATTTCCTTTTCTCCATATGACCTACCATATGCTAGCTGGGAATGTGTTGCACCCACTAAACTTCTTGCTGCTTCATTGTTTCCCGGATTTTGTAGGGTTCTTTTGTTGTTTCAGGCATGCACCATTTCAGCTCTTTAAGATGTAACATCAGATTTTGCCTTGTAATTAACCTTGCAGTGAACCCCTACTCAAAAAATGCACATATATTGCAAGTGATTAGCACTTCTGGTTGGGTCTGAGATCATGTATAGCATTAAGCATATAAGATTAAACTGGATTAAGACTCGATAATCCAATCCAAAAACCAGAAAGCTGCATGCAGTGAACTCTTCAGTACATAATCTAGTCCATCTTACTAACTCAAAGCACACAGTATAACATTCACAACTTCACTCTCCACAGCCCATGGCAATCACATGAATTTACAGGAATCAGATTAGCATCTGATTGCTAAGCTTATCCACCATCACCAGTAATCCCCACAAGAACATGCCCCACCCTTGAAGCAATGAAACCTGTGGCAATCCCTTACTGTAATCTCTCTTCCTGTCATACCAGATAGAATCTTAATTGCATTATGACAGTCGCCACATATTCTCAAATTCTTTATGATAAGAATAGGTTCACCATCTTTGGTCGATAAAATCCCAAAAGCAACTGCCAGCTTTTCGCTGTGATGCCATAAGCTTCTCTCTTTCTCCTCCTGCCTTGTTCCATCATCTCTCATCAGAGCCCACCTCAAATCCGGAGTATACCCTTCTTGCTTCAACTTCTTTGACATCTCTTCCCAGAATTTATACACCAACTTTATCATCGGATGAGAACTATCTTCTGCCACAAAGACGTGAACCCTGTTGGCCACCTCAATCCAACTACAACCCACTTGCTTTCTCACTCCCTTGTCTCGCATTTCTTTTCTAATCGATGCTACCTCTTCCCATCTGCCAAGACAAGCATTCATGTGCGCAAGCATGACATATGGTGCCGCATTTGATGGATCCAGCTGAACACAGTGGTTAGCTGCCTTTGTTGCTAGCTCTATATTACCATGTGTTCGACATGCTCTAAGTAATGAGCCCCAGCCAATTGTACCAGGATTATATGGCATTGTTTCGATTAGTGTCTCTGCTTCCTCGAGCTTTCCTGCTCGACCCAAAAGGTCAATCATGCATAAATAGTGCTCAGCCTCTGGGTTTATCCCAAATTTATCAGTCATTAAACCAAAATATTTCTTCCCTTCCTCGACTTTTCCAGTGTGTGCACATGACGATAGAACAGAGATGAATGTTATGTTTGTAGGTTTAATATTGCTTTCAAGCATCCATGCAAATAGTAACAGAGACTCTGTTCCATGCCCATGCTGAGCATAGCCTGCTATCATAGAATTTAAAGTGACAGCATTATGCTCAGGCATTCTATCAAAAAGTAATCTTGCATCTTGCACACTTCCACATTTAGAATACATTGCAATGAGAGCATTGTTCACTGATATACGATTGGATGGAATACTGGATTTGATTGCCAAAGAGTGAATCTGTTTCCCTTGCGATGGTGATGACAAGTTAGAAGATGCACTAATCACACAAACAAAGCTGCAATCATCAGGTTGATGGCCAGCAAGCTGCATTTGTCTAAAACAAGCAACAGCTTCTTCACACAATTCAGACTGCGAATATCCAGAAATCATTGTGTTCCAAAGCACCAAGTCAGGATAAGGTATTTCCTGAAATACTTTTTTGCACTCTGATATACTAGCACTACATTTTGAGTACAAATCAATCAGCCCACTGCCAACATGTGGATTTTCATGAAAACCCATTCTGATTAACCGACCATGAAATTGAAGCCCACCACGCAAGTCTTCCATGGACGTAAGTGCTGTCAATACACTTGCCAAAGTAAACATGTCTAAATATAAGTCCCTAAGTTCCATTTCTTTATACAAAGCCAACGCCTTTATCCCTTCCCTATGCTGCCCATAAGCAACAATCATTGAATTCCAAGAAACCTCATCTTTTATCTCACCCATTGACGCAAAAACCTCTCGTGCATAATCAAGATGCCCATTTTTGCCATAATACGTGATGAGAGTATTATTAACAGAAGCATAAGAGTCAAGCCCAGCAGATATAGACAATGAGTGAAGCTGAGTAATGAAATCAACATTGTCATTAGCAGCCGTGATAGCAGCTGAAAGAGTAAATCCATCCATAACAAGACCCGTGTCCTTCAAATCAAGAAAGAGCCGAAGAGCAGGCAGGGTGTAACCAAGATCAGCATAAGCAGATATAAGGGTGTTGTAAGAAACAATATCCGGTTGGGGAATTTTATCAAACAGCTGGTGGGCAAGATGAGGCTGAGCTTCTTTAGCATATGCATTGAGGATAGCATTGAAGGAAAAAACATTGGGTTCAGGGGTAGCTTCAAAAGCCCTGCGAGCAGCGGTAAGAAGGCCACACTTAGAATAGAGAAGGATGAAATGGTTGGAGAAGTAAGTAGACGGTGGAATGAGTGCTTTGATGTAAAGCGTATGCAGAGATTTGCCGGTAAAGAGGTCTCTCTGGGCTATGCATGTTTTCAAAATGTGGCGGAATTGTTGGAGGCTCTCCACCAATCTTTGTTGGTTCATCTATGGGACAGTCACTGCACTTTTTGCTCTCAAAATAACTTGCCACCAAATTGGGAGGAAAAGGCATTACATCAATTTATATCCTCCTCATTTTAAATTTTTCGATCCTATGATCCTTTTATGTATAAATGCCAAGAATTTATGAAGTTGTAATGGACCAATAAGTATCTAGTATTTAACTACGAAAAACAGTAGGTGGTTTCTTTAAATTATGTCAATTCTGTTCAAAATTTTGATGAACGCATTAAGAATACAATTTTTTGTGCATTACTTGCAACTAATCATGCAATTGTCTGAACTGATCTTCATAGTCCCAAAGCCAAAAAGGTCCTAAATTTGTTGTGCTTGTTAACATAGCTGCAAAGGGCAGTGTAACAAGAAAATTCTTTATTTGTTACAGTTTAGAGTTTTGAGCTATAAAACTCATCTGTAGTCCTGTACAGTATATGATCTTACTTTATATCGATCAAACATCAATATGAAGATCACTTAATCTGAAGAAGCCATTTGTAATTCTGACTTCTGAAATAGCTAGTATTAGAGCAGAAGCATCACTAGTAATAAACAATCAAACGAAATGTAATTCATAGTCATCATATGCTCAATAATAACAAACTTATGTAACTCAAATTTATAGTCGTTGGTAGTTTCAATAAGTGGTGTTCATGCCACCAGAAGGGAATTTACCACTGTAATCAAAAGCCTTGTCATTATAAAAATCGTCAAGACTGACTTGAGTTGTGTCCTCGTAGCTAGACGAAGTGAGGTCGCCTTCAGTATACTTGCTCAAGCTGGCCAGTCCAAGAATACTCTCAATTTCTTTCACAGCCTCTCCCATGGAAGGCCTCTCAGCCCCGGATTCATTTACACATCTCATTCCCAATGTGAATAATCTATCAACACCTTCGAGTTTTGAACCTGGACCTATTCTTGGATCAATTAATTGGTAGAGTTTGCTGTTATCTTTTGAATCATATATGGTCTCTGCAACCAATCTCACGATGTGTTTTCCTCGTTCTATTGGAGCTCTTGCAGTAATCAGCTCGAGCAGCACCACCCCAAAGCTATATACATCACTTTTCTCAGTCAACTGTTGGCTCATGTAATATTCAGGATCCAAATATCCCTATACATAGGAACATTCTTAGAAAATGGGATTTCGAAGCAGTATGGATGGTGCATTATGGAATTACAAATGTTCTTTGAAATCAAAATTTGCATTTATCAGTATATCACCATGTTAAACAATGAATAACATGAGGTGACTAATTCTTTAATTGGATTCCAAATGATCCTTCTTCATGTTGTTCAGTCATTTCACGATCAAGAATATTAGCCTTGGAGATATACCAATCGCCTTCAAGTTGTAGAGTTTGATATATGCATATCCATAAGAATTATAAGACAGCTCAAATTGATCCATCAAGGTTTGAGGTAGTAATACTCACCAATGTACCTTTGACTTGAGTGGTGACATGGCCCTTGTCTTCGTCTCTCAAAAGTTTTGATAGGCCAAAATCAGCAACTTTTGCAGTTAAATGGTCATCCAGCAAGATGTTATTTGACTTTACATCCCTGTGTATTATGGGAGGATCTGCAAGCTCATGCAAGTATGCTAAACCTCTAGCAGCATCAAGGGCTATCTTAAGTCTCCTTGTCCACTCCAACTGGAATTTTGGCTTGACTGCAAGAGCCATATGCAGATTAAGAATAACCAAATTAAATTTTTATATACGCCCAAACACTGTGATATTAATTCTCGTATCATACTAGAGAAAATCCATGATGGTGATGGAGAGAGTTTCAGTTAGGAATGTTATTCCTTGGAGGACAATGGCTGAATAAACATATAAATTAGCAGGTCTGATAAAGGAGTTGAAGCAATATAATGAATTCAATTTTACACAAAGGTAAATAAAACACTTTCCGCTGTATGAACAAGACAGTTCAGTGGACAGATCGATATTGTTTTAGTGAAGAACAATCAATCTTTCTTATTTGCCAGATTGGACTGGACTTAGCATCTGCTTCCTCAGAAGCAAACATATGAAATGATGAATGCAGAAAAATATTTTTACCTGAGAGACTTTCCCTTAGAGTACCCTTTGGAATGTACTCATAAACCAGCATTTGTTCGCCTTGCTCATAACAAAATCCAACCAGGCTTACAACATTCTTGTGATGTATCCTCGACAATAGCTCAATCTCTGTTTTGAACTCAAAAGCCCCCTGCATTGATCCATGTTGTGCTCTTTTAATTGCAACTACCTCCCCAGCAGTAAGAGTTCCTTTGAAGACCTGTTGATGCAACATGTATCAGTCTGGAAAATTTGACATGCTACAAATAAATTAGCAAAAAAGTGTGAAAGATGCAGTATTTAAGTACCATGCAAAGAGTTAGTGTAGATTGTGGCATTCACTTAAACACTTCTACCTATTTCACCATATAGGCAACGCGTACTTTTCTTTAGAATATGTGAATCTATAGAGGAAGTTTGTGATCCCATGTGCAAGATGCTAATGCCATATCGACATATAACTACTTCATTCAAAAAATTTCCTCGTCATCTGCTCATTTATGTGTACCAGATGTTTAAATGTACTTACTGTCTAAAAATTCTACAGGTTTATTTAGTATGATAGTTGGAGCTAGGGGTGGGGCATGGTACAATATCGGAAACTGCGGTTCAGTAACTTTGGTTATTAAAAATATAATCTATACCATTACCATACCAAACTAATTCGGTATGGTTTGGTATTTTTAAGTTGGATTTCGGTATTTTTGAGTATAGTAAATCCGTAACCATAGTTTGTTCGACTCAACTTACGTATACTCATAATTATGACTTCGGCTTTTCAAAACCATCTCAATTATACCATACTAACACCTTACACATGTAGAAATATTGAAAGAAAGTAAAAACATGCAATTCCCTTCGTTAATCAATTATACAAAAAGGACATTTCAATAAAGATAGTCGAAGTTCCAACGTCTGAATAATTAGTTTTGTACTAATACTATTTTATATATTTGCTAGTACTATATAAGATATATAAATTGTATATGTAACTATGTACTTCGATATGGTATCCGGTATTTCGATATTCTTCATATGAAAACCGATTACCAAACATTTTAAAAACACATACACTGCCCACCCCTAGTTGGAGCAAAGATCAAACAAGTCAAGAGCTTGTGACCATCGTTGCATTTTAAAATGGTAGTTAGAGCGAATTTATGCCACTGTGTCATAAGATGGGCAATATGTTGTTCATTCGTTGGTATGGGGAAAAGGTAAGACCTTAAGTACACTAAATATGTGCTGAACTTTATAGCAGGAACAGCTCAAAGAAAGAGAGAAATTGTAAACCTTCCCATAGCCCCCAGATCCAATGCAGTTAGATTCTGAAAAATTGTTTGTGCACTTCCTAATCTCATCAAATGAGAACCATCTTGCTCCTTTAAGTTGTGGCACAGCACCACTTGTATCACGGTCCCAAGATTCTGTATTCACATGATGACATCATTGGGAGGAAAAAATAACACCACTAAAATGCTAAAAAATAGTAATGTCGAAATGGTGCAGATCTAAGAAAAACTGATCTTACCAAAAGGGTTACTGCTATGACCAGCTCTTTTTGCCATTTTTCTCTGGCGAAAGGCATAAAGGCCAGCACAAAATGTTAAGAGCACAAGCACTGCACAACCAACCGATACTCCAATGATGATACCAGTATGTGATGATGACTTCTTATTTCCGTCTAAATCATAAAAATAAGTAAACATGTTAAGCTAGATAAGAATCGCATATCTATCCAGAAAAGAATTTGAGAAGAAAAAGAGAAAAGATTGTTTCTTTTTGCTAAAACCATGTTCAGTCACCTGCAAAGCAACAATAACTTTCAGAAGTAAAGAAAAAGGGTCCAAAATATTGGAGTTGGAAAGGATTCCGGTTGAGCAGGTAACCAATGGAAGGAATTGATGTATGATTGAAACTGTCCTGTGTTGAGGGAAAGATTTGTGCTTCAATTTGAAGATATGAATAAACATCAACTGTTGGATCACTTAGAGAAACTGAATCCACTGGAAGCCCATTGGATAGAAATGCAGACATCATAGAGCCAGCAAGGGTTGTAAAGTAGCTTGAGTTCTCTAAATTTGAGAAGGACAGGGAAAAGAAATGTAGTGTCCCAGTGTATGGATATAAACATTTGCATGTAGGACTTAATATTTTGTCAGAATTGCAAGACATTGCTGGACACTGCAGAGGTGATGAGAAGGAATCATTGGAAATCTGAATTGCACAGTATTTGGCTGTTGCTCCTGTTCCATCACAGAGCGGGTTGCCAGCGAGCCTGCATAATATAATATAACATTATTCTCCAAAACAGAAGAATGTGCATAATAAGAAGGTTAATTACAGAGAAGTAATTTGCTCACGATATATTCATGTTGTATCCTGTTTTCTGAGTGAAGTCCTTGATAGAATTATTTCTCAAATCAAGAGTTAAATTGTTCCCATATCTGGTCCCAATATCCAATGTCCCGTTGAGCTTGTTGTTGGCTAATCCTCTGCAAATATATAACCAGTTGGTGATCAAATAAAATGTCTCCTGTAAGAGTGATGCCTAAATCCGGTTTTAATGAGTAAACATCCCCTGCCTAAATCCGGTTTTATGAGAGAAAAAGTGTGAACTTACATAGTTTCCAAGTTAGGACGACTGAATAAGTCAACAGGGATTTGTCCTTGCAGTGTTGTGTTCTCCATATATCTGTTACAGTGCCCATCAAAGATTACTAAAGGAGCAAATAACCCCAGGATTAAGGCAATTCAAGTAGTCATCTTCCTTGAATTATTTTTAAATTTTGATATATGCCGCTTAAAAGCAAGCTCCTCCTCTACAGGATTTGCAGACCAGTTTTTTAGGCTCACATTTATTAAATAGATTTTCAATAGATGCAAAGTGTGCTACCAAAATAATCTAAAACAGTAGCATATATAATCGGAAAAAATCATTTTCTCCTTAAGATTTTATTCCCCGAGTCCAATAAATGGCTTGTAGAAGAAAAGTAGTATCTGGATAGCATATCTCATTGCTTAAATGTTGTTTTCTTTCACCAACAAATATAAGGAACAAAGAGATGGGTTCCATGGGCCCTATGACTTCCTGCTATGTGTTGTGTGGCTCCCATGAAGAGAATAAAAAGCTTACGCTTTCTCTAAACCTCTTTGACTGGTAGGCTGTAGTGCTAAGACCCCTACTTAAGATTCAATTCATCAGGCTAAATTTATGTTGTCTGCCTTGGTTAGGCCAACCATATAGGCTATCACTTCAACTTCTATACTGGCCCTTCCACTAAGACTTGACTTAAGAGCAGGAA